ACTACTTTTTCTTAATTATGCACTTCTATAGGAAAAACTATAAGTGAGACAAGAAAATTAAAACCCCTGTATATAATCCTGCAAGTAGAGATCTGAACTTAATTGCCTGTCTTCTTCTAGCCTGTCTCCTATCACTGCATCGTTGACTTAGTGGGTTTTGCCCTCTTCAAAGAATTTGTGTGTATTCAATATGGAAAAACAACTTCTGTTTCTCTACGTTTTATGCACCTGTATATAAAAGCTGCATGTATCTGGCTTAGTAGACAGTAACAGAAGAATTTAAACCTTTGAACACCCTGCCTGCACTCAGACCTCCAAAGTGAGAAAGCTTTTCCTCTGCTGATCTTACATGTTAGTTTTGTAGGCTGCTGTGATAAAAACTTGAGGTTCTCAGTGGCAGCCTGTGGTCTGAGCCATTGGTTTAGAAACCAAGACACGGAGATATTTGAAGTTGCTGGTATTGGCAGTCCCTCACCTGACTACACTTGCGGGCTTTTTGGATCTAACCCTGACCCGGAGCTCGCCAGGATCCGCTCCTCCCCCTCCTCCGTGGCCATCGTGCCCCCAGCCTTCTAGTTAGTGAGGCCAGAGCCTTCAGCACGCAGGTCCGGCCCTGTCCTTCCCTGCATGCCGCTGCACACCTGGCTCCTGCCTTTCGCCTCTTACCAGCCCCTCCCTCCCTGGGTAGATCTCTCTCCCGAGCTCTGCACAGGCTCTCTGCCGCTCTTTCTAGTGCTTGGTTTTGTGGTGATCAAAATGTACGTGGACAGCCCAGCACAGTGCGCACGTCTGTAATCCCTGCACTCTGGGAGGCTCAGGTAAAAGGTCACAAATACAAGCCAGGTTTGGGGAAGTTAGGGACTTAGTGAGAGACCATCTCAGAATAAAAAATGAAAAAGGGAGCTGGGCATGTCTGTGTGAAGTTGCTGGGTTCAGTCCCCAATATGAGGAGGAGACTTGGAACTAAGAGAATAACGGTAAAGAGAAACCTGACATTCCCATGAGATAAACTGGTTTTTTGTGGGGGGGTTTTGGTACCAGGGATAGAACTTGGGACCTTGCGCTTGTAAGGCAGGTGGCTGAACCCTGAGCTAAATCCCCAGCCCAAGATAAACTGCTTTTAAAAATAAATTTTAAAAATATCTGACACTTAAGTCGGTTTTAAACAAACTGAGGTAGTTCAGTTCAACTTACGTCCTGTCCTGAATCCTAGTAGGCGGTTTAAGGGTTACTCTGCTGGAGATTCAAGAATCTAACACCATTTTTACCAGCTAGAAGCCAGTGCACCTCAGCTTACACTGGACATAAGAGCTTTGCTTGGAGAGAGAACCCATGACTTTTATCTACCACAAAACTTTCAGTGTCTCAGACTTTTAAGAGAATTCTCACAAGGTCCCTGGAAATCAACTTCATGGATTCGGGGTACCACTTAACTGGCCAAAAATCTTGAGCAAGTGACTTAATTTGCCTGTGCCTGAATTTCCTGAGTTAAAAATTGGAACAGTAGGGCCGGGGATTTAGCTCAGTGGTTCTGCTGCTTGCCTCGCAAGCACGAGGTCCTGAGTTTGATCCCCAGTACCACCAAAAAAAAGGTACACTAATGGCTGTGAGGCTTAAATAAACTAGAACATGTGACACGATGTAGTACCTAGCAGTAAAGTGTGTTACACTGGTGTTATCCTGTCAGTGCTGAGGGGCTCGACACCTGTGTCAGACACATCTGCGTTCCTTCGCAGCACGCGCCAGACCCGCAGCTCCGCCCTTGGAGAGACCAAAGGGTAGGGCTGCCTGGCCTTTTCATTGCTGGCTTCTCGGCACTCCGAATGCACCGGGCCCTACACTAATGTTTGTTGGATTAGTGAGTGAAGTTAGAGGAGACTGGTTCAGTCAGAATGTTTTCTAAGATAAATGTGATTAAAGTCTGTCTTGTAGACTGGGGAGCTAATCCAGCCTGTGATTTTATGAAGATTTTATGTGTGGTCCAAGCTTATCTGCATGGGACTACAGAGTATGTGGGCAAGTGGTGTGGTTTTAAAGAAGCCGCTTGGTATTAATATGGGATTCGTGGAAAGGAGAGAGGAGAGCTGCTGGATGAGCACGAGAAGAGTTGGGGGCTCTGGCGCAGTGGGAAAGACCTGTGGCCCAGCACTCGGCAAGGCTGAGATAGCAGGGTCACGGCTCTGAGCCCAGCCGGGGCAACTTAGAGAAACCCTGTCTCAAAATTACAAATAAAACCCTAAAGGCCTGGGCATGTAGCTCGGTGTGAAGGCCCTGAGTTCAGTCTGCAGTACAAAAAGCCCCGGAGGTTTGGTGCCGTCTTCACTTCATTTTTGGAAGGTAAATTGCGTAGGTTAGAGGCCAGCCAGGAGGAGTACGAGCTCGCATGTGCGGCCCAGAGAAGTGGCCGAGGTGCGGGGTCTGCAGTTGAGGAGGCCTGGCCGGGGCTGATGGCGTGGAGCGACCCAGCCCTGCCAGTGCGGAGAGGAGGAGACTCGCGTGGCCGCCGCTCGCCGCCCCGTTCTCGGAGTGCCGGGTCGGGCCCGAGCACGATCTGGCTCGGTAATTTCTGGGAAAAATTATTTGGCCAATGGGTTGAATTTTCAAAAGGTACCAGAAGAGACATTATCGGTGTGTTTTTTGAAAAGTAAAAGCTATATTTTCATACCTCCTCTCATGCTGTGAAAACCAGACTAGGATCAAGAAATACCCTTTAATTGTTGGAGGGTTTACCCATTTATCCATCAGTTCTCAGAACTTTTGACTCCATAGTTCAGCTAATTTGGCCTAAAATGCAGTTAGTTCAATGTGGGGGGGATGTTTGGATTGAACGCGGGGATTGTGCGTCGTGAGCGGGTGCTGTACCACTGAGCCACGCCCCAGCCCCTAGTTCAGTGTGGGGAGTGCTGGGGATTGGACCAAGGGCCTTGTCACTGAGCTATGTCCTCTCCCCACCCCCTTTTTGAGACAGGGTCTGGCCAGTGGCCAGGGCTGAGCTTACACCTGTGGTCCTCCGTTTTAGCCTCCTAGAGTGCTGGGATTACAGGTATATGTCACCATGCCTGGCTGGGCTGATGTTTTGAGCAGGGGTTTTAAAACATTTCAGTCTCGTTCTTTATACTCTTACAGTTTTACTGAAGCCAGGCATAGTGGCGCGTGCCTGTGATCCCAGCACTCGGGGCTCAGGCAGGAGGAGCACTGAGAGTTTGAGGCCAGCCTGGGCTGCATAGTTCAGGGCCAGCTCGAACTGCAGAGCGAGACCCTGTCTCAGAAAACACCTCACTGAAAACCCCAATGAACTTTTATTTATGTAGCTTATGTTTTGTAATACCTTTAACACTTTAAACTGAAAAACTTAAAAGATAGTGCATATTAAATGAAAGCATTGATGAGTTGCATGTTAATATAACACATTAGCACTATTTTCCAAAAGAAAAATAGGTTTTCGATATGATGGGGCTGGAATGCAGGGCTTCTCCCACGAGGCTTTCACACACTGAGTCCCTGAGCCACAGCCCCAGGTCCAGGAGACTCCAGGGCAGAGCAGTGTCACTCGCAGCCGGCAGCTCTCCCGGGCTCCCACACGTCCACCTCTGCGTCCAGTCTGTGCAGGGTCCACGTCAGCAGCCTCTGGAAGACACTGCGCTCAGGAGCAAGGGACAAAGCAAATGTAGTCTTCAAGCGGGGCTTGATGCTGAGGATCACTGATAGCCATCGTTTGAGATACAAACATGAATGAATACTTTTAAGCTGTGCCTTGTTTGGATGTAGACTGTCCTTGTCCAGTTCCTCTAAAATCCTGTCACCTCTCCTGAGAAAGTGAAGTCAGGTCCCGCTCACCTGTTCCGGTCTGCTGACGTGAAAGATTATTTAGCCCCTGTTTCTTATATTCCCTTCCTAACTTCTCACTTTGCTGATGTCCTGTAGAACCATTTTCACCTGGAGCTTTGGGACCCTTCCCCAGACCTTGGAGATAGATGCATGGAAAGAAGGGAATCACATTGTACCCGGTCTCGACTCCTGGTGGGGAGCCGTGCTCACTGCAGACATCCCCAGCAAACACCGGCCCTTGGGGCTGTGTTGAGTGAGCCCCAGAGCTGTCTCTTAGGTTCCTCTGCCTCCTGCCCATCACAGGCACCATTTGTCTTCTCCTTTGTCATTCTGCCCTCAGTGCCAACTTCCTCTGAATCCAGACGCAGGAACGTGTCTATGTCCAAGAAGCAAGTCTTCCTTCCTGCGAGGTGCTCCTCTCCAGAGCCCCTCCATGCCCCGCGCCCAGCCCTGCTCTTGCTCCTATTTAAGCAGCCTGCTGGGTATGGGCTGGAGACGCTACTTCCAGCCGCCTTGTGTGATGGTACCGGCTTGACTATTCTCAGGTGTTGCTCTCATCGCAGCGCCCCTCTGCCCAGAAGTCTTCGGTGCTGCCTTCCATTTGTAGCAAGGGTTAGATCACCTCGCTGCCCTCTCCTTCCGCTTCTCTGGAGCCGTTCGTTTGCAGTTCCTCGTGGCACTCCTACTTTCTGGGTTCCTGTGAATGCAGGTGCACCTCGCCTGCCTCTGAGCTTCTCCTGGTGTCCTTGAACCTGGGAAGTCCCACTTTTCCACTTCATCTGAATCCCTGGGGCTCTTCAAAACCAGGTCCCATAAGTGGTGTTTACCTGACTAGTCAGTGACATTGAACTTTGTACTGTACTGTGTAGTACATATTATACATCATTATTGTTTATTTTGGTTCATTTATGTTATATTAATCTCTTCTCTCCAAACAGACAGTTTCTTGAGAAGTTGTTTAGAATTTAATTATGGGAAAGACCAGACTCCCTATGTTGGGGCCTGCCCAGTGGTGTTCCCAGTTATTCTCTAAATTATCTCTGTTCTGCTCAATTCAGGTTGATCTTATTATGTGTGAGCAGCTCAAGTCTGGTAAAACTATCCAGCATAACATTATTTCTAAGTGTAGCTCCCATGTGCTCATCCTAGATTTGCCAAATTTTATCCTGTAGCTATTTCTGCATTTGAAATTCAGCCGATTTCCATGGAGGTCCAGGAAGGGGGAGTTGCGAGGTTTGCATGCAAGATTTCATCCAGTCCTCCTGCAGTGGTGACCTGGGAGTTTAACCGGACAGCTCTACCCATGATGACGGACAGGTAAATGAGGTGCTTTCTCTGGAGGCAGCAAGGGAGAATGAAAGTTCTTATGAGGTTAGAGAGGAGAAATGCCATTGCTGGAGCTGATTTTTGTTAGTGGTCATCATGACTGACTGCATAAGACATTGTAAATTCGAGCAGAGAATGGCATCATCTATGGCTGGCGTGTGGTTGTGATTCCTCATCCAGCACAGAATTTGGATGGATCATCCTGCTGTGCTGTTCCTTTCTTCAGCCACTGGCGCCCCCCCTAGGCCCATGTGAGTGTTTGGGTTGCAGCCAAGGTCTTAGGAAGTCAGATGACACTTTCAGTGCTAGGAAGAGTGGGGCCCTGCCACTCCCTGTCCTGTGGCTGCCCTCCGCTTCCTAGCCCCTTCACACTGCACACACATGTGCACCCATGCACACCTGCATCCACACCTTGTGCTCTGGGGATAGTTGGGGCTCAGGGATCGAGAACTTGGTAGTAACTCCTAAAAATTTGATTTCTGCCCTAATCCTGAATAGGCAGAAAGCATTTCCTAAAATGTTAGAGCAATAAGATAGGACAGTTTATTTCAAGGAAGTGCTTTATTTAAAAAAAAATTATGTCCAGGTATATCTTGGAGAAACCATAGATATTAATAAGTAAAAAACCAAGAGTTTGAAAATAAACCATACTGAACTGTGGGCCATCTAATCTGTAATGTCAGATGAGACACTTTGTAAAATTAGATTTACAGATTTCACAAACCCTATTGTGCACAATCATTGATGGCTGAAAGATCTGTAAACCTAGATGAAGCCATGGATCCAACTAATGTGTTTTTATTTGGGGTGCTGGGTTTTGAACCCAGGCCCTTGTGATTGCCAGGCAAGACTCTGCCACACCCCAGCCCAGGCTGATGTGTCATAAGGTCTTCGAAGTATTGCTTCTAGCCCTGTAAAAAAAGTGAAGTGTGTTCATTCTTGGCATAGGTTGTGTTAAATAAAATATATGCTACGGGAAATTGACTTCCATTTCTTCCTGCAACAGGATGGCTGCCCTGCCCACAGGAGTGCTGCAGATCTACAGTGTGGGCCCGGGGGACGTGGGCAGCTACCGCTGTGTGGCCACCACCCTGACCCACAGGCGCAGGAGTGCAGAGGCCATGCTCACCGTCACCCCAGGTAACACCGGACCGGCGTCTCCAGGGCCAGGAGATGATGGTGGCGCATGCAGCACCCACCCCTGTTGGAACAGCGTACCATCAGCAGTATCTTACCATAATCTACCTGGAAAATGGTCATTTTTGTCTGTTAAGCAACTCTTCTTTCCCGGGCTAACTTGTTTTATGTCAACTTCTTTAAGAAAGACTGAGTATTTCTTTTATAAACATTCACTTTTGTTTTTTAAAATCATAAAGTACAGAAAATACAAAAAAGAGGATACAGTAATCTTTCCTCCAGAATTGTCCATTGTTGATATTTGTTTCTCTGGTTTTGGTTTTGTTTTTTTGGTACTGGGGATCAAACTCGGGTCCTTGCGCTTGCGCAGCAGGCGGTGAAACCACTGAGCTAAATCCCCGGCCCTGTCTGGTATTTTTATAAAAGTTAAAAATATCATCTCCAATCCTAGTATTCAGAAATTATTGTTACATTAAGTGATATGTTTTGCCATACGTGAATGTAGCTAGAAGGAATGCTAGAGAGATGGATATGAAGAAAGAAATGCATAGCTCATTAAAATGGAATTTATGCAGATGCCAGTTTTTACTTTAAAATAATTAAATGTCAGTGTATTTGATTGTACAGGAAGAAAACCTGCACTAAGGACAGTGTTGATCATCACATGAATGTATATTCTTATAAGAGACATTACTTCCTAAAAGATCTTTTAAGGTTTACAACATTCTAAAAAACATTAAGGCTGAAGTTATTTTTATAATGCCATGCTTTTTAACTTAATTTAGTGTTTCAGAAGTGCTAGGGATGGGACACTGGGCCCCACGCATGCTGGGCAGTTCCACCCCGCATGCCCAGCATGCTTTCTTCTTAGATAGCGTATGAAAGATAGCGACGCAAGTGTGCTCATACTTCTTCCCCGAGTTCCACTGTCATGTGAATTCTTACTAAGGTTACCGAAAGTATTAAATAACATTTGGACCTCAATTAAAAGTGAACAGCAATAGCCATTCTAACAGATGTGAGGTTTTATCTCCAGAATGTGGAAGAAAGGGAACCCATAGAACTGTTAGTAGGGATGTAAATTGGTGGTGCTACTATGGAAATCAGTACAGAGGTGCCTCAAAAATTAAAAACAGGATGATTATTTTATCCAACAATCTCATTTTCGGGTATATATCCAAAGGATATGAAATCAGTATATTGAAGAGATATCTGCACCACTGTATCATTGTAGCACTGTTCACAGTAGCCAAGATATGGAGAAAACCTAATTGTCCAATGACAGATGTGTAGATACAAAAGTTGGGATCTATACATACAATGAAATAACACTCCTCCACCATTGTAGAAGGAAAGGTGCCATTTGAAATAACATGGATAGATGTGAGGACATTATGCTAGATTTCGTCAAATGAGCCAGACATATACCACATAATTGCACTTTTATGAGGCATCTAAATTGTCAAACTCAGGACCAGAGTACAGCAGTGTTCACAGAGGCATAGAGGGATGGGGTGCTGGTCAAAGGGTACCACTGTCAGCTGTACACGATGAATAAATTCTGGAGTAATAACCCCTGTACAGCATAGGACCTACAATTAACCATACTATATTTTACAGCTTAGAAATGGCAGAGAATAGATCCTATGTTAAGAGGTTCTACTGTAACAATTTTTTAAATGAAAAGGAAAAAGGAAAAGACAAAAAGGATACTTTTTACAGCAATAGATACATCTATAGTCTTGATTGTAGTAATAGTCTCACAAGTGTGTATATATATATATATATATCTCCAAACTCATATAAGTTATATATATAAAATAAGTATAGCATTTTGGACATTAATCATATTTCAGTAAAGTAGTTCAAAAGGAAAAAGAACTGAATCATATGGAAATAACCTAATGTCCATCCCTTGATAATGGCTAGCTAAAATACTTTCCACCTGTATAATTAAATATTATTCACTTATTATTCATTAAAAAGGAAGATACACATGTCACAACAGCATGGATAAACCTTGAAAACATGTTAAGTAAGAATGAGCAGTCAGAAAATGCCATATACTGTGTTGCTCTGTTTCCGTGAAATGTCTGGGATAGGCAAATCCAGACAGTCAAGAAGATAGGACTGCCGACCTGTGGAGCAGAGATTGGAAGATGACTGTTTCTTCTGGAGTGATGAAAATGTCCTAAAATTAATTCTAGTCATAGTTGCATACCTGAAGATTCTAAAGACTATTTAGTTACACGGTTCAGACAGGTGAATTACATGGAATATGAATTGTATCTCAATAGAAAAAGTGAATAAGTTGATGTTTTAACACACCTTGCTTATATCTCATTTTTTATAACTTATTTTTTATTTCTGTCTCTTCCTCCTCAAAGCTAAGGAGTCCAAACCCTTCCACGCTCCAACCATCGTAGCAGGGCCACAGAATGTCACAGCGTCTCTCCACCAGACTATAGTTTTGGAGTGCATGGCCACCGGAAACCCCAAGCCAATCATTTCTTGGAGCCGTCTGGGTAAGTTCTCTGGGCAGGGGGAGTCTTAGAGTCCTTTAACTTTGTTTATTCTGATTAAACTGGTAATGTATTTATTTTAGATAAAACACATTTGGCCATTCTGTAGCTTCTCTTTGGCAGTTCAGTGTATAGAGACTTTTACTCTGGAGAATTTTATACGTCTCGTGACTGATTGCTTGAATACTCATCTCGACGTAATTTCAGATTTGTGTTCCACTGTGTTAATGGAAGTGTTCTCTTTCTCTTTGAAACAGATCACAAGTCCATCGATGTTTTTAATACTCGAGTGCTTGGAAACGGCAACCTCCTGATATCTGACATCAGGTTGCACCACGCTGGGGTGCACGTGTGCAGGGCCACCACCCCGGGCACGCGCAACTTCACAGTTGCCATGGCAACCTTAACTGTCCTCGGTATGGTTTTTTCCCTGTGTAATTAGGAGAATCTTACATTTTCACATCTGCCATTTTATCTCAGAGCCTACTTGTTCCTGTCTTAAGTTGTGTAGCACTGATTCGAAGGCTGATGAAAAGAATCATAAAGGAACAAGGAGTTTTAGGAGAGAGTTAAGTTCCTGTGTTGAAATGCAGCAGCGCAGCCCTGCTGAACTCACTGTGCTGTTTGCACACACGCCCTCCTGTCTCTGTCTCCCTCTCCTCACATTCCACAAATTCATACCCAGCCTGACTTTGTTACCTGTCCACTTGGGGGGGCGCTTGTTGGCTCGGTGAGGAAGGACTGCATGCACAATCTTCAGGGGGTTCAGGTGGCTGTTGGGGGCCACAGGAACACAAATGGTCCCTGGGCGGCTAGGGAAAGGAGCAGCGTGCAGACACCCTCGGGCTGGCTCGTGCTTCGTGTGTCTGTCATGCTTCTCCGGGACGCTTGTCCTGCCTGTTGGCATCACAGAAATGTTCTCTTTTTTCTTTGAAAATAGCTCCTCCTTCATTTACCGAAAGGCCAGAAAGTTTAACAAGGCCCCGGGCCGGCACTGCTCGGTTGGTGTGCCAGGCTGAGGGGATCCCTGCACCCAAGATGTCCTGGCTGAAGAATGGACGGAAGATGCACTCGAATGGCAGAATTAAGATGTACAGCAGGTGGGCCGTGACGCTTTCTCACTGCTGTGTGGAAAGTGTTAGTAATTTTTTGTAAAATGGTGATTTTATCAAGTGAACAATCTTGACAGTTAAAACTAAATTTAAATAAACAAGAAATTAAGATTTCTAGCACTAGCATGCCATGGATTTTTTGTGTTTTATGTACACATGGATGGTAGAAGTGGTGGATGACAGTGAAGTGAGTGTTGGATGATTCCCCAAATCCAGGTTCTGGCCTGGGTGGGCATGATCGAAGTTAGCCCACCATGCTTACAGGTCTTGTTCCTTCCTGTATCACTGAGAAAAGCAGAAGGAAATAGTTCTTTTTCTAAGAATTCCTCCAGGTTGGATAATGCATTGTTATTAATAAAAGTATGAATTCTTGTAACATTCTCATTTATGTTCAACAAAGCTAAAACACTTTGCTGACCTGATTTCATAGAACGAATTGAGGAGTATTCTAGAGTAATGCCCTTTCTTGATGAAGGGTTTTTTGCTTGTTTTTGTGGTGCTGTGGACTGTACCAGGACTTTGTGGAGGCCAGGCAAGTGGTCTGCCACTGGGCCATACCCAGCTCCAACCGCCAAATCTGCAAAAGGAGTTTAAGTTGTCATGTCAAGCAGAGAAGGCTTGGGTATCATAAATATTTACAAAAATTCAGAAAATAAATTAGAGTAGTTTTAAGTGAGTAGTGCAGAATATTTTTAATTAGGTGTGATTATACAGGTTTTCATTCTCAATAACTTTTGTCACTTAATACCAGAGTATGTTTCACAGTAGCTGAACTTTATTTTTATGTCATTCTTAGAATTTTTCATGGACATAATTTTTTTCTCCCTCAGTAAACTGGTAATTAATCAGATTATCCCTGAAGATGATGCCATTTACCAGTGCATGGCCGAGAACACCCTGGGATCGGTCCTGTCTCAAGCCCGGCTGACGGTGGTCATGTCGGAGGACAGGCCCAGCGCCCCCTGCAATGTGCACGCAGAGACCGTGTCCAGCTCCGCCATCCTGCTGGCGTGGGAGAGGCCCCTCTACAACTCGGACAAAGTCATCGCTTACTCTGTGCACTACATGAAAGCAGAAGGTGCGGAGTTGCAATGACATTTGTCTTCCAAGTGCCCCCTGGGGCCGGGCATTGTATTCAGGATGAATGGTGTTTTGCCTAATCCACAAAATAGTTTTGAAATTCTGTGACATGTACCTCTTTAATAAAATAATCCATCACCTGTACGTCTTCTTCTTTCTCAGTGCCCTGTATACCTTATATTATGTTAGTATAGTTTAAGATTTTTCTGTTTAGAAATGAGTCCTGCCTAAGGGAGTGCATCTCAGCCTACTAAAAATCACAGTGTGGTGTACTTAGGAATCTTATTCTGGCCAAGATGTAAATTCCTTACCTGAAACTTAGACCAGTTTAAGTATTCAGTGACATGCAGACTGTTTAGTAAAATAATGCAGTAAACTGTAGATACTGTGGCATGTTTTTCTGAAGGGGTAAGTAAACAAGGTCAAATTCTCCATGTACTGGATTCTGTGTCTTTTGAATGTTTTCCGAAATCATTTGGAACTTTTTGAAAATTGAACAAGATACTTTTTTTTTTCTTTTGGTACCAGGGATTGAACTCAGGACCTTGCACTTTCGAGGCAGGTGGTGGAACCACTGAGCTAAATCCCTGGCACCTCTTTTTTTTTTTTTTTTTTTTTTTACAAGATACTCTTTACTTGTTTACCTTATAAAAGCAAAACCCAAATCTGTCTTAAAATTCTTAGTTTCACTTTTTATTTTTAATCCTTATATCTTATTTTTGGCTAACACCTTAGAGAAAAAAGAAAAGCTACTTACAAACCCTAGAGATTTCTCCATCAGCTTTTCATAGAAACCATAATAGAGGTTTACAGATTTTAGTTCTGGACACAAACACCCTAGCTTTTATGCAGTATACAGAAAGCACAAATTCAAATGCCCAAAGAATGAAGTTATGTTGAAATTGTCTATAGAGACAGGTGTTTTGTTGTTGCTGCTGCTGTTTGCTTTGTGCAATTTGAAGAAGTGTTTTGAGAGGAATATTTTGAATGTAAATCGGGCTGTGGAAGCAAGAAGAATGGAAGTGCGATAGGAGTGCTGGAGTATGTTAATTCCCTTTCTGGTGATTTAGGGGGTAAAAAGTGCGGTCTTAGTGGAGCCCACTCTTGTTCGCATTGTGGTTGTTTCATTAGTGCCTCTGCATGCAGCACAGTGGTCTATTCAGGGGCAGAACAAGGCTTTTTAATTCGAACTCAAGGACCTTGTCTGGGAGGTCAGAAACCTACTATGCCGTTCCTAATTAACCAGCCATTAGCCAGTCTGTTGTGAAATGCCTGTAATCTTGTCTAATTAAAATGCTATCAAGTTAATTCAGGAATGTGGGAAAACTGAATGCTGGAATTTGCCTTCTGTTTTGTTTATGACTCCAGCGTGGGGGCAGGGGCTTGTCCTGGGAGAATGGTGATTGAGGCTGTGCGCAGTCTGGACCCGGCCCTTGTTCCAAGGTGGGATCTGCTCCATAGGAGTTAAACCCTACCGAGACAAATCTTCCTCTGTACTTTGCCATGCATATTTTATTCGGAATTGCTGAGAATTTTTTTCTCCTCAAAAAGATCACTGTAAGACAAAGCTTTTTGAAGCACCTTCAGGATCCCTCCGTTCTTTTGCTTTATGTATCAGTAACAGAATGACTCGTGTCCATCAAATTTAGTAGAATCTGTAGGGGCAGAATGAGATCTTTAGCAGGACAACTTTTGGTTCTGTTTGTTTTTGTTCCATTCCCTGTCCCTTCGCTGATGTGTAAAGAGGAAAAGGATCCTTGCGTGTGAGCAGTAAGAGTTACAGCAGACCCTCGGCCTGAGCTCTGCATGTTGTCTGGACTGCAGCCTTGCCAGAGGCTCTGGCTAGAGGGGAAACAGAGTTTAAAGAAGTTTAATTCTTTTCAATTTGATCTACTTAGGAAAAAGGCAGACTAGTAATTTGTAGCAAGACAGATTCTGTGGTTACTTTTAGAAAATTAAGACTTTTCTGTTCACAAAAGACTTTTACATAAAAAGTCATAAAAGGTAGAGATGAGGTTAGGCCCGAGAACCAAGTATTTCATAACAAGGGAGAGGGTTTTGCTAATTTTATTTTGAATATTCATAATTTGTAAACATGAATTCTTTTCTCTAGGTCTAAATAATGAGGAGTACCAAGTAGTCCTCGGGAATGACACAACTCATTACATTATCGATGACTTGGAGCCAGCCAGCAACTACACGTTCTACATTGTGGCCTACATGCCAATGGGGGCCAGCCAGATGTCGGACCACGTGACACAGAGCACCCTGGAGGACGGTAAGTGCTGCAGTGAGGGAGTGCCTGTGCAGCTCAGCGAGAGAAAGTAGCCTCTTTCGGGTTAAAGCAGTCCTTTGCCAATAGCTCACTTAGGATAAAGAACAACTTCATTTACGATTCATAATACAGATTTGATAGTAAATTCTTACTGTATTTTCTAGTTTAAATTATAAATTTCTTTTTTACCTTATAGAACAAAATGTTTTCTAGGCATGAATAAATACAATGAATGTTATATATTAAGTATATAGAATGATGGTGTTGGACTTCTAGAACTGGAAGTTTATGAAACTTAGTACTTTTCAGTTTCAAAAAATCCTCAGGTAATAAAAGGACACTTAGCTTATATATTAGGTGTGTGTAACACTTGTTCGGTTTGTTGCTGTACCACTGAGTTTCGGGACGACAGACCTCCACGTCTGATGACAGTGGAGCTGGGCATGGGGTGCACACCTGCAGTCCTAGCACTCTGGGAGGCTGAGCCCAGAACATAGTGGGAATTTGGAGGCAGAAAACGGGTCCTTCTTGGCCCTACATAGGGTGTTGTGGAAGGTAGTCTCGCTCTCTCTCCAGGGGCTCTAGAAGGCCCATTTCAGTGTAGAAGAGTTATTAATGTGTGCTTGATTTCACTGTTCTCCCTTTACAGATGTTTTCTCAGCCTCGGGGAATACACTGCTTGTTTTCAAAATAACGTTATATAAGTAATTCCCAAATCCACTCTTTTGTTCATTTGGTCCCAGATCTTTACTTATATATTTATAATGCCACTTATTTAAATCAGAGTTTCACTGAATAAAAACTTTCCACTCATCTAGATGCTAAATTCCAACTTTCAGCTTTCGTTTAAGAGTGTATTGTGCTTCAGAGTGAGCCAGTGTACCTATCTATGATAGCTCTAGTAAACACACTGCATTTAACAACATGTTATGTATGTCTAAGGTGAAACACAAGCTGATTTGTGTGTGTGCATGAGTGTGTGTGACTTAGTAACTTTCTCATTGCTGAGACAATACCTAACACCCACAACTTAAAGGAGAGTTTTACCTTGGCTCACAGTTTCAGTTCATAGTAGGCTGACTCCAAGGCAGGAAGGAAAGGTGGAAGGGCCTGGGTGGAAGAAAGCTGCTCTCATCATGACAGCCACAAGCAGAAAGAGAAGGAGCCAGGAAGTCAGAGTCACCCTTCCAGGTCACAGCACCAGTGACCTTCCTCTTTTGACCAGACCCCACCTCGAAGCTACAAGTAAGCTCTGCTGTCCCAGTGACCCAGCCACCTCCCAAAAGCCTGGAGTATGAGTACATGAGGTTCTTGGGGGACATCTAGATCCAAACCATAGCATTCCATTCCTGGCCCCTGAAAGGCTCATGTCCATCTCATTATGTGCACTGCATTAGTCCATCTCTAAGAGTCATCAAAGTCCTAATAGTTCCAGCATTGTTGAATCCAGCTCCAAGGTCTCCTCTGAGACTCAGGGCAAACTCTTAGCTCTGGCTCCCTGAAAAAAATCAAAAAGAAAGTTAAAACACTCCTGACATACAATGACAGGATAAATATTCCCATTCCAAAAGGAAGGAATAGGTGAATAGAAATCAGACTAAAGCAAGAACAAAACCCAGCAAGGCAAACATTAAATCGTGTAGCTCTTTGTCCAGCACCTAGGGCAAAGATGTGAACTGCAGACTGCTTGGGCAGCCCTGCCCCTGTGGCATTGCCCGTGGTTGCAGCCCTCATGGCCCTCTCTCCTGGGCTGGCTTTGCTCACTGCCTGCTGTTTTGGTTCGATATTTCATGTTCCTGATTTCTCAGACTTCCTGGGGTCTCCACTCACCTGTGTCTTCATTCTCTCAGTTTCACCCACTGATGTCTCAGGGGCACACTGCCTGGCCTCACAGGCCTTCCTCTGAAATCTGGGTGGAGGTCTCCACGACCCCACAGCTCTTGCATTCTGCATGCACCTAAAACCACCACCACATGGATGATGCCAAGGACTGCTGCCACCGTGAGCAATTTCCAGGCCTGTTTGGATCATGGCTGCAGAGGCCTCTCAGTGCCTGGATGGCTGAGTATTGTGAATCAAATCCTGGGAAGCCATTTTCCTAGGAGTCCTTTCTGGACATGGTAGACTAATAAGGCTCTCTTCTCAAAGGAAAGCCTTTTACTTTTTTTCTTTTTTTGACAGTACTGGGGATCGAACTCAGGACTTTGTGCTTTCAAGGCAGTTGTGGTGCCACGGAGTTAAATCCCCAGCCCAAAAGCTTTTTACTTTTTTACCACTCATCAGTGCTGTCAAGGCATCTTTCCTATTTCCCTGATGTAAAGTATTTGGCTTCTTGCTAATCAAGTTGTCATCCTGGAGCCCTAGGCACCCGCCTTTCTGCAGTTTCCTGCACTTGGCTTCCAGATGTGTGGCAGGTAATTGGAAAACTGGTTTCTCGTTTTACATGAGTGTTATGTGCTCCCACATTTACCCCAGACCGCAAGCATCGCACAGTGGTCAGCACCATGCTCTCGTTGGTTCCATGCGCTTGTCCACTCGTGTTCACTCCTTCATCCTGGCTTGTACCCTGCTCCTCGAAAGCCTCTGTAGAGCTGGATGCACCTCTGGGGTGTTGAGAGAACTCTTCAGGACACTCTGACCCTGAATACTTCTGAACAGTCTGTTTCCCTCTCCGCCCAGTTCCACTGAGGCCACCGGAGATCAGCCTGACAAGCCGCAGCCCCACCGACATCCTCGTCTCCTGGCTGCCCATTCCGGCCAAGTATCGCCGAGGCCGCGTGGTGCTGTACCGCCTGTCCTTCCGCCTGAGCACCGACAGTGCCGTCCAGGTCCTGGAGCTCCCAGGCACCTCGCACGAACACCTGCTGCAGGGCCTGCGACCAGACAGTATCTACCTGGTGCGCATCACAGCGGCCACCCATGTGGGGCTGGGAGAGGCGTCAGTGTGGACCTCACACCAGACACCAAAGGCCACCAGCATGCAAGGTACCAGCTGCTCTTCAGGGACCAACACCAGGTGTAGCTCTGATGCAGATTCTCCCGCTTCCAGTTACATTTTACATTTTGGTTTTGTGAATAAAAATAGCCCACAGATTATAGACTTGATTGAAAAAGTTAAACCTTTAGTAGTCCATTTTTGCCTATAGCTCAAAACTTTTCTTATTTTTAAAATTTCTATTTTTATGAGTCCATGTTTGCACTACATAATGATTACATTCACTGTGAGGAATTGTTACATGTACATAACACATCTCAATTCTTTTTTCCCCTTTCCCCACCCCTTCTTTTTAAACTTTCTTCCAGCATCGGATTCATTTATTTTATAAAACTTCTGATTATATCATAAATTTGCTTAGCAAAGCCTTCATCCAAGTCAAATAGAATTACCAAAAGTAATCTATTAGCAGAGACTCATTTAATACTAATGAGATTTAAAACAAATAAAAGCATCTTTCAGAAGGAAGGCCGCAGGCTGGGAAATGCTGGCCCGGTCTCTTACACTCCCGGGGCGCCTGGGACTGGACCGATGTTGATGGCTGTTTTCTCACACTAGAGCTTACTGTCTAGCGAAATGAGAAGGTAGTTAGTGCCTCTTTGAAAAAAATTGAAAGTGCAAATACCTGTCCAGATATTGTTATTATTTGCATGTTTTAGTATTTTTAAATTTTGAGTCAGCGTTTAATGTCATTGTGAAAGTTTGGAAGTTAGGTTAGAGAGCGATTGCTAGAACTGGACGTCTTTGTATGGTTGGCGGGAGGCAGGTGGGGCTGGCCGTTCCTGTGGACAGGGGTGGGTCACAGCCCCCTGGCGGGTTTCCAGCCCCCAGGTCTCCGGAGCTGCACCTGGAGCCCCTGAACTGCACCACCATCGCGGTGAGGTGGCAGTGCGACGCCAAGGACCCTGCGGCCATCCAGGGCTACAAGCTGTTCTACAAGGAGGAGGGGCAGCAGGAGCACGGGCCCATCGTCCTGGCCCCCAGGGAGCACCTGCACACACTCAGCGGCCTGGGTGAGTCCTCTCTGGACAGCCAGGAGGGAGGCAGCAGCTCCCAGGCAGAAGAAGGGGGTCAAGAAAAAGGGAAGGTCTGGTTTTCCTCTGCCGAGCCCGTCCTGCTTCTGCAGCAGATGTCCAGTGGCCATGCTGTCTCCTGTGCTCTGCCAGTGTTCTTTTCTGGAGTTTGCTCTTGGTACTGTGAGCTTCCAATCAGTTCATGAGGAAGTGTGGTAGATGGAGAACAGGAATGCGGAATAGGAATTTCACCAAATGATCAAATAATCATCAGGTGGAACTTGGAATTTGCCTGAGCATGCCACACAGATGTAAAGTAATTTACGTCGATTATGTAGGAAATAATGCCCTTCCCTGTAATCCAGTAACCATAAATATTTCTGTCCTCAAACTCTGACCCAGGGATGCTGGGGAAAACACACACATCCTGTGTGGGTTCCTGGTCCTCCCGTTCTTCTTGTCTGCAGAAGAAATGAATTTCATGTAGCACGCTTAGTAAGAGGCTAAGAAACCTGCATCTAAAGTGAGCTCCTTGTTGGGTTGGCGCTGCCCACAAGTAGGTTTCCCCCTAAGTGCCAGGCGTCCTCTAATCTGCTTGTCCCTGCTGCTCCCAACCTCAGCATCTGAACCTGCAGGCCAGCGCTCCCTCTCGGAGGCTCCGCCTCGGCCTCCTCCCTGCTCTTCCCAGCAGCCCCAGGTTGGAGCCCCATGCAGGAGACCCTGCACTGCTGCCCAAGATGGCCAGGTGGGATTTGCCATGTAATCGTGTCGGGTTGGTCTTTAACTCAGTCTGCCTTGGGTTACGTAAGTTTTGCTGTGGCTCTGTCACCTGACTAATAGATGAGGAGAAGCTGCTCCTGTCCTGGCCGACCCTTCCTGGCCAGGGTCTGCAGTGATGTCATCCAGCTTGCTGTCCCTAGCCTCCCTCCAACATTTGCTTTGCCTGGGCTCCCTGTTTGCCCTCCCACCCCCCATGGTTCAGACATATTTTACTTAGGATCAGCAGGAAGCAGGAGTTGGGACAGTTGTTAAAAAAAATTGCAGATCCAGTCTGTACTTCTGGCATCCTGTTGGGGAAGAATCAATCTGTAGAAGATATGTAAAAACATTCCTCTTCTGCTGTGCTCTTTTCGAGCTTATGCTACAAGTAGCTTGTTCTGAAGAGTGAAAGTTTATAAGAAAAAGAAAACAAGGCTCTGCTTATAAAAACTTGAGAGGAACTTCTTTCTTCAAAGCTATGTCATTGCTGTACTGGGCAGGCTCACACACCGTCCAGCTGGTGGCTGGGTCCCCTTCGGTGCCTTTTAACCCCAGAGCCAGTCCAGCCTCAGGCTGATGTAGGCGAGGGCTTTGGCCCTGGTCCTGGCAGCTCCTGTGCTGTCTCTCAGATCGGATCACCACTGACCATCTGTGACCGCCTGTGCCCGAGCATCTGGCAGTGCTGCCTGGTTAACAGAGAATGATGGCTCTGAGGGCAGCAGGTTAAGGGTGCTCGGCATCCCACAGGGTGAACCCTCAAAGCCACTGAGCTTTTGCACATGAAAGGTGCTTGGGCTGGAGCTAGATTTACTAAGTGCACTCAGAAATGAAATTAAACGCTTCTCTTTACCGATTCACTGTCAATTTGAGTAACAACTGATGTCTTACAATTTCATTTTCATACTAATCCCCCCCTCCTGATGCCCCAACACACCCCTTTGTTTCTACCTCTAATAATCAAGTTTGCAGTTTGAAACGTGTGTGATTGGGACACACTCTCCCTGGAAATACAGACAGTTCTTTGTTCAGAAAGGAAGAAAACAGCAAATGGATTTTTGTCTTTCAGTTCAAGACAATCGAACACTTTCGCATATTTCCTAAGCCAGGCATTGTAGGGTGGCATGAAGATGGGATGGATTCAGCTCTGCTCAGAGCAGGAAAGATGAACCAGCAGGTATTTCAATGACTGCTTTGTCCAGCTCCCCCTCCGATTTCTGATCAGATTTATTTGTGCTGAGTGAAAGTTATTTTAAAACATTTTACTCAAAGCATAATTCACCAGGCTATGGGGTGCGTTGGTTTTGAAAGTGATTAAAGATTCTCTTGCCTTTAATAGTGTGGTTCAGATCCTAGCAGAGCAACGGGAAGAGTTTCACATTGTGGTTTGTTTGAATTTGACTTTAGAAGTGGTTTCCATGTGGCAGTACAGGGGAAAGCACCGTCTTACGATTTAGCGTGCTGTGTTCAGTGGTTTAAAGTTTGCTTCAGGATTTGGTGTCTTTGTCATTAATTTCCTTGAATTTTTTTTTTTTGGCACTTTATGTGGTTCACTCAATTATGAGCTAGATGTTTGTTGTTATATTTATCACACCATACACTGAAGCAGAATTTATCACACACTTGTGATCGCTGATAACAGACTGATAAACAGAAAATTTCTATTTTGGAAATTGGCTTTAAATTCCAAAGTTGGAGTTTCTAAATGCCAAGGGACTGTTTTCTGACTGTTAGAAACTTCATTGTTAGCCTAAAGTTTAGGACCTGATGTTCAGTCACCTTAGCTTTTATTTGCCAAAGAACTTGTATTATTATAGTTAATTTCATAACAAGCATGATTAATTGAGCACCAAATATAAAGTTCCAAAATATTTAAAAAGTAATGTGTGTGCTTTGTAGATCTCCAAAACCCACTGTTTGTTTGTTTGTTTAGAAATCCAAAATTGGAACTCCCAGTACTGTTGGAAGGAGTCCAAAGAAACAGTTCTTGGTTAATCAGGAAGCATGTCAAGGTGAAGTCCAATTTCTAGGTGACACATTCTGCCACAGTAGAATAAAGTTTGGTTGTGTGGTTTTATATCAAGAAAGAAAACCAGCAGTGCTGCCACTGGCACCAGCCATGGGCTGGAGGGCTTTGTGACCTTTCCTCTAGAAGGAGGAGAAGGTGCCTTTGCATAAAAAAACTTAGTTCATCACTTTGCATTGTGAACCTTTCTACAATAGTAATTTTTTAAAAGCCAGGCATGGTGGCACACGCCCAAAGGCTGAGGCAGGAAGGTTGACATGAGTTCCAGGCCACCCTGGGCTTCAACCTAGCAAGAGCCTTGTCTCAAAAAACAAACAAAAGAGGCAATTTTTTAAAAAGAGAGAGCGAGCTAGAATCACTCACTTTACAAAATGTGGAAGATGTGTTTTAAGGGAAGCCAGAGTCATCTTGAGTCTGGGCCCCCTTGACCCTGTCACACAGGGAGCCTCAGATAAGACTCAGAAAACCTGTGGAAATATCCTAAGGTCATCCCTTGTGATGTGATTTTTCACATCTTTGGGGCTACACCTCTTAAATCTTAAGAGGGTCCAAGATGCACCACATTTATAACAATCCTAATAGCAGGCAGCTGCACTGCCTTTCACCATCGGGCTTTCAGCCCATCTGTTAGTTCACTGCAGATACTCTGTTCCTGAGCGACGAGCTCAGATGGCATTACAGATACCAGGGTTCTCCCAGAGTAACACAGAGCTGACTGTGGACATCACACATTCTCCGTCGCAGAGCAGCACTCACCGAGGATGTTCCTAGGATGAGTGTAACAATTCCATTGGCACTGTTGCTTTCATTTATTTACCAGAGGCAAGCTCTTTGGGGACATACCTTACATTTTTGCTTCTGGACTTCTTCTCGTGCTGCCTTCCACTCTCAGTAGTGGAAATAGTTCCTCTGAGCAGTGACTGTACCTTCATTCTCTCCGTTCAGAGTTGTAATGGAAACGCATCTAATCCAAGCCAGGAGATTTCTTACAGAAATGATTTGGAAACCACCCGCTCTTGTAGGTCAGAAAACTGACTGATGGTGCAGGGAAAGTTGTGATGGAACAAAGGGAATATTTACAAGTTACAGTTCACTTCCTTCACTGTTAAGTCTCTACATTTCCCTTTCTTACGTTGCATTTGGTCTGCTATCAACCAGAGTCTATTGAAGCTGCAGAGTAAAAACATTTGAATGTTTTCACAGCATCTGAAATGCCAAATATGATTGAAATTTTAGAACTGAATAAATATTTGAAAAATGTAGAAATCAGTATTTCAAAAGAAATGGAGGGGCCCGGGATTTAGCTCAGGGGTGCTCCCGCCTGCCTCAAAAGTGCAAGATCCCAAGTTCAATCCCCACTACCAAAAAAAGAAAAGAGCATCTCTTTCTTTAGAAAAAATCCAATTACTAAAAAAATACTATTAAGACAGTAAAGAAAGAGATTTTCATTTACCAACTGCAGTGATACCATCAGCATCAGGGGCACACGGCCATGTCACTGGAGTTGGGTGGCTTCAGTCACGGACTCTGATCTGACTCTCGAGAGTATGGTCTTCAGTGTAATCTGAATGCCTTACCTGTGCCGGGCTCTGAGTCCTCCTGCCCGTGTTCCATGCAGCCTTTGGGTCTTTGGTCCGTATCTGTCTTCGCAGGCTGACTTGCACTTGTGTCGTGTGTGTGTGTGTGTGTGTGTATGTGTGTGTGAGTGTGTGTGTGATCCTCCTCTCTCTGCATGAGTTGGCTCAGAGCCACAGTGCTGAGGCTGGCACCTTGTCCCGAGCCCCGAGAACGACGGCTTTGGTGCATCTCACTGCAGGCCACTGTGAAACTGTCAGATTACTCAGATTTTGTGTAGTAGGATGAACAAGAAGTTAAAAGACTTACAGCCGTGGAGTTTGTTAGTCAAGAACATGAGTTGTTCTGACTCCACAGCAGGAAGCTCGCAGCCTTAGTGGTCATCTGGAAGGGGAATGCTCCTGAGCCCACTCAGCACTGCCGCCCAGCGTGGGGAGCTCTTGGTGCCGCAGCTCGGCCCAGTGCAGCACAGCTGCTCAGGATGGAGGCTGCTCCCCCAGGCCCTGGCCCGCCCGCCCGGCCACTCAGAGGCTTCTGACGCAGAGCTTCCTGGCCTTGCACCTCAGAAGGTGAACTAACTTAGGACGCGCCTGAGGGTAGGCTGCTGTCTCCAGTGTAAATTCATCTTGGAATTGAAGCATTGTGCAGCTTTGACTTCTGTGGTTCTTGACTCTCTACGAAGACACTGCCTAGGAAACAGACCTGTAGAAAGGCGGAAGTTTAAATTTTAGAGTGGATATGATATATTTTTTTCTTAGAGCTTTGGATATATACAAGTATGACTTTATACATATACAATTTAGTATATAAGATTGCTGTCTGTACCAATTTGTCATGTTTTGTTTCATAGATTTACTGTTTATCCTGGTTATAGATTTTAATTTATATTTATTTTCAGTTATTTTTAAATTTTATAAATTTGTCAGCCAGGCATGGTAGAGCACACCTGCAAACCCAGCACTCTGAGAGGCTGATGCAGGAGGATTGCAAATTCAAGCCCAGCCTGGGCCATTTAGCATCTTTGTGAGACCCTGTCTCCAAATAAAAACTAAAGGGATGTGGGACTGGGTATGTAGCCCAGGGTTGCAGACCCTGGGTTCTCTCCCCAGGGTGGGGGTGTTGTGTACATGGTTGAGTGCGTGCACCCTGTGCCAAGCGCTGTATGATGCACCAGGAATGTGAACGCTCAGTGCCTGCCCCACAGTGGTTACCTTCAGCATGGAGGGTTTACCAGCATCTCAGAAAGGGGTTTGGCTGAGTGTGGAGGCACCAAGGATAAATATCTAATTTCACTGTATGGGGAAGACTAGTTTGCCTGGTGGAGAAATAGAAGAAAATCATCCCAGTCAGAAAGGCTTAAAATGTACAAAAACAAACTAATAAAAATCAACAGGCTGCAGCAGATATGTGGGTAGAGGCTGCTGAGGGGAGAACCCCACAGCACAGTAGGACCTGGTCCTCAGGGCCAGACCTGCTGCCAGGACTCGGTCTCCCTGCTGCAGGGTTCAACCTTGTTTCAGAAAGATCATTGTCGCTGGTGTCATGGGGCAGGCTATAGGAAGGGGAACCTGAAGGCATCAGCGGGCTGGCTGCTGAAACTGCGGAATGAGGAGTGAATTAAGGCAGGGCTGACAGCAGAGAGCGCAGTGGGCAGGACTTACCTGACCCTCAGGGACTGACTGGTGGGCGCCCTCAGGACACAAGACCGAAGCTGAGGAAGTGCGGAGTCAAAGTTTTAAGCCACAGACACATACCGAAGCAGAATGACCGGATGTAGTAAAGTCCCTGTTGTCAGGAGGGTTGGGGATCCTGAGCCTGGGCCCTGGGGTGCTGTCTGGGATTGTGCTTCCTACCAAGTCCAATACAGCCATGCCACAAGACCCAGCAACCCTGTTGGAAGTGCTCATTCTAGGACTACAGAAACTTGGCTTCATCTGAAAGCATGCACACAAGAGGCTGCAGACAGCGCAGGTGTCCTCCATGGGTGGATGCCCCACTTGGCTCCCAGGACAGGAAAACCAGCAGGCAGCTAGAGACCAGGGAGAGGCCCGCACCCCCAGCCTGGATGTTCTCTGGGATTTGTGAGACGTTGACCACTCTGTTAGGCTTTTTTCTTCTTTGTTTTAGTTACAACTTTCAGTGGAGTGCTTTTTTTTTTTTTTTTTTTAATTCTATGACCTCTGGAAACTGAAATTCTTTCCATATAGATAAGACCATATTTATATTTATTCTCAGTCTGGTACAATTCTAAACGTTTATCTGGCTCTTTTACTTGCCACAAAAGACAAATTTTAAAGAAGAAAGAAACAAAAGGGATTAGACTTATCTCTGTTACATTATGGGGAACTAGAGGTGGCATTCCAGTGGGATCTGCTGGAAAATCACAGAAGATACTTATTTTCCATTTTTCAGTGTTTGAAAGCCTTTTCATGACTGTTTGCTGTAATGCCCTTGGATGCAGCAGCCCAGAGTTGTCGCTGACCGTACTCCTGGGCGAAAGCTCCCAAATTCCTGCCTCCTGTGTGGCAAACTGGACGTCAGAATCCTGTCTGCGGCAGTCCCGTGTAACACAGAACTCTGTTTCATGCGTTAGAGTCACTTTAGAGAGAGAAAAAAGTCAGCAATGTAACCTGCGTTTCTTGGGCAGCTTTTCAAATCTTTCTAAAATATATCCAGCCCAACAAAATAATTGGGAACAGAATTGTAATGCTTTCCTTAGACTCTCAGCCCTCAGTCCTGAGTAGTCACTGCCTTTTGAGCTACTCCAGTCCCAAGAGTGAACTGCTCTGTGAAAAACAGCTGTCTTCCTAATAAGATGAGGTGTAACATGTGTACAGAACCAATCCACCAGCTACTCACTCTGCTTTTGTTTTAGAGGACAAAGCAAAGACTTTCCCCAAGAACAAAACTGATGCGTTTGTCTAAATGGTGGCCAGAAACTGCCTCACTATTTTAGCAGCTGTGTGGCAAGTTTTGCAGCATCTGGTTTCTCCGTGGAGACAGAAAAGTTGATTCGGGATTTTCTTGAGAAGGCAGCTCCTCTGAAGAGACACTGTTCTAGTACTTGAATTAGCTTGCTGTGATTCACATGCACATATTTTGTCTTAAGGGGAAAAATGAAAGAAAGAGTCAAAAAGATCCTTCTGCCCTAAAACCACACAGGGCAGATAACCCTTTGACCTCTGCCCTGGCTGAAGCCCCCGTCCTGGTGGTGCCTGAAAAGAGCACTAGATAGCGCGAGGCCCAGAGACAGGAAGCCTGGGTGGGAGGCTGCAGCAGCAGGACCTCCAGGAGGGGAAGCCGCGTGGAGCTGTGTGGGCTTGGTCTGCACAGCGAAGCACCGCGTGGTTCCGGTTCTGTGGCCTCAGGTCCCTCATGGCTGGGGTCTGATGAGCGTGGGCTGGGCCCAGGGCTGCCCCAGGCACAGTGACCTTCTTGGGGTCTGGCTCTCAGCACATGCTCCTCCTGCTGGCGCCGTCAAGCTCCCGTCTGGGTAGTTTTCTTTCCTTCGTGTTTGTTTTTGCCGTGCTAGGATGGAATCTGGGGCCAGGCCCACGTCAGGCAGGCGCCCTCTTTGACCTGCACCCCATGCTGATGCTGTTCAGGGGCGCAAAACACCAAAGCTGTATTTGGCGAGTGATGAGCCATCACTTTACATGTTAAGAAATCTAGTGTTTCCTCATAGGCAACATAGAAATTAGCACATAAGACGTAAGCTCTTCTGTTTATCTCTGGGGGAGGGGGATTTAACTTGCTTCTAAGTGGCACTTCAGGTAAGGCCGTGAAGAAACTTGCACTGCAACTGACGGCTTTGTACTGATCTGTAAGTCGTTTCGGTATTTCTCTTCTAAAATAGCCCAGTGACTTCTGCAGCACTTTGTATTTCTATTTTGAAGCTTATTAAATTGAGTTTATTCTTATTTTCTGCTTCTTCTGGTAAGTACTAATAAAACCTCAAGTCAAAGTTCCCTTGCTGCGCTTAGGAAGAGGCTTAAGGTTGAGGAGAGGCTCTTATTTCCGTGGCCAGTACTTGCAGATGGAATTTCTAAGAGGGAAAGGAAGCCCTGGGTGCACTCTGCATTCTTCTGTTTTTTGGCATCTGTAAGCAGGGGAGAATGCTTGACGTGAATGACAAACATCTCCTTAGTGAAGGAAGAACTCTTGTAGGAAATTAAATCAATCCTGTCCATTAATCGCACTGCTTGTCAACCCTTAGACCACTCTGGAAGTTTCGGTGAATGTAAGGAATCTTTAGATGTGTGAGGTCCTTGGAGATCTAAGTAAGTTAAAGACGAGGAGGTTTTTAAAATGCCACCATTAGCACATGAAAGAAACCTCCTGCCAATAGAAAAAACCATTTGCTGCAAAGCAGTAATTACTCTGCTGGGTTTTGTTTTGTTTTCCTTTTAAACTTTGTTCTTAAGAAAACTTAATGCAAATGAAATTTTAGGCTTTGTCCTAATTGCTTGCTCTACAGGGCAGAGCGAAGCCGCTAGACTGGCCGTTAATAGAGGAAAATGGCTTTTATCTTAGCCTTTAAAATATTTTTGCATGTTTATTTGATTATGGACATCATATGTGAGGACAGACATGCGCATCTGCTGTGAGGAAACCCAGGCCTGACCAGTGAGGCTCCCTGCCAGCAGAAGGGCCTGGGCCTGTGTTGGGTGTGGCAGAGGCCTGCCTAGCATGTGTCTGGGCCTGGACCCTGCTCCAGGGCTGCAAAGCAAAGAAACTGAACCAAATGGTCAACAGAAGGTGAGGTTTAAAATGTGGTGCCTGCTGTTCAGAAGTATGGACTCAGGTATTTCAGAGTAAACCTGCTTCAGTCCAGGAGAGGAAGTGGACATTTGCCTGACCGCAGCCCAGCCCCAACTCCAGGCTGCGGGCAGTGTGTGATGGGGATGCGGGAGGGCAGCCAGGCAGCCTGCACACCACCCCGTGCGAGGTGGTCCCGAGGAGGTGGCACTGAGGTGAGATCAGAAGGATGAAGAGGGGCCAGCTGGGCAACGGAAGAGCTGCAGAGCCAGGCAGGGCTGCCGGGACTCAGAGCACCCACGCCGCCTCGCTCCACATCACGGCTCCCCGCCGGGCGGGAGACCCGCTCAGGGGTGTTTGACTTTGAGGAGAGAACTGTCCTTTGGCTGAGCACTTCAGAGAGCTGTGCGGAAGGCAGCGGCACGCTCCAGGCTGCGCAGCGCCCTTGGTAGCTGGGTAGATTGCCCCAGCTGGAGTTGCTGCTTTAAATCTGTGTCTCACTGCCGCCTTCTAAGAAAGGTCAGTGATGACTCAGTGCAGATTCACAGATTAGCAAGAGGAAAGGCACCTAGGTAAGGTAAGGCCCAGTGCGGGGAAGGGTGAGAGCTGTAATTGGTGCCCAGCTTTGCCAGGGATAAATCAGGCAGTGCCGGAAAGGGAGGGGACCTGTAACCTTCATGCTCTGTCTTACCCAGGAATCCCACGGATAGAGCCCTCTCCCAAGAAGATAATAGGGGCCGAGCCCAGCAGGGACGCCCAGAACTGCCCCTTAACACCGGCAGGGCCATTGAGGGAAAGCTGAGGAAATACTAAGTATTTAGCTGCATAAGTTTCATAAAATAAACTATTGCACATCATGTGATTTGAAGATACATGGTCATTAAAAGAATGTCGTAGAAAGATATTGAATGACTAGAATAATTCACAACATTTTTTGATGCAGATTATAAAATACATAAAGAAAATCAAATATTTGTGTATATAGATAGTAAGGGAAATTAAATAGCTAGTATTCACTGTGCTTGATTGTGGGTGCTAGTATTAGAACATTTTATTTTTATTTTTATTTTTTGTTTATCTAAATTTTTTTAATTTTCTGTAACAAACGTGTTTCATCATAATAAGGAAAAATAGTAAACTTAGGGGCCAAATGCTGAGGATTGAACCCAGGGCTTCACACATATTAGGCTAGTGCATTACTACCAAGCTATGCTGTCAGCACAAAATGTTTTCTTAATTCAGCATAACCAAATGAAGAAATTGGGGCAAAGATAAATGAAGGCTGGAAAATCGGTGACAACTAAGATTATTCCTTCCTTAGCGTTTGCTGTCAGGTCCTGTGCAGCTGCTACAAACTGCTCTGAGCTTCCTTGCAGCCAAAGCAAGCTAGAAACACTCGCAGTGTGGGACGCAGGATGTTTTCACGATCAGAGGTTGCTGGGCATGCTCACATTCCTGAAATACACCACCTTCAGGAAGCTGTGCTGAAACTGTTGGAGATTCTCCAAACCTGTACTGAAAGTCATTTTAACTTACACTTGACAGTGACTTGAGATAATAAGGACAGGAGATTCCTGTGGTTCCAGGATTGTTCAGTAGGTCATGAGGTTTTGGACGACCTTGAGATGTTACTGGAGGGAACAACTAAAATAATTTTTTGAACTTTCACCTTTCTTTATCTGGATGGCCAACTATGGTGGTTTTTAGCATATCCCCCTCTCTCAAATAGTTACACTCCCTCCCTTTAGCCTCGGCTAAAACCATGACAGGTGGGCCTCAGTTCTGACCCCACAGAACTCCAGAAGTTACCCCAAAGCCTCTCAGAACGTTCAGAAAGAAGGCCACTCTACAAAGGCACCTCTTTGTGCACAGTGCTGTTCTGAGAAAGCGGTCATCATTCTAGTGGTGTCCTTTCCCCGTGTTAACTGAGTGGCACACATGCCTGGCCCTGATTCTGTGTTCTGTTCTTGTGCTGTGAACGTTGTACACATTGGCATCTCAGTGGGACTCATTGGGAATTAAGAGCAGACAAGAAATCTGCACTTGCATCTTATACAGAAAGTCCTAGATACTTCAGGAAATCCCAAAACACATTGATGTTGTCTTGTTCTTTTCATTGTCCTCAGTGCCAAGCTAGCGGTCAATGTGAACATTCCTACAGACAGACAAAGAAAGTAGCCCCAAGTGTGGGGGTGCTCACCTGCAATGCTGCCACTCAAGGAGGCTGAAGCAGAAGGTCACAAGTTTGAGCCCACCCTGAGCAACACAGAGACCCTGTCTCAAAAAAGGAGGGGTGGGGTATAGTTCATTGCAGAAGCCCTGAAAGAAAATTGATACAGATAGATAAGGTTAGCCACTAAGAAAAGTAGGCTATTTTGGGGTTAGGGTAGCTTATGAAACCATGGTATTCCTCTTCAGTAAGCAGCCTAACAAATCCAGACGCACAAAAAGCAGGGTTTAAATTTTGTTTCCCTTCATAGAACGACCCTGTGAAAGTCAAAGTCATAACTTGTGTAGTATTCTTGCCAGAAATGTTCAGCCTGGATTGAATAATGAGGAAATGACACAGTCGGATAAATCTGAATTGTGGCATTTTGCAAAACAGCCACACTAGAGCCTTTGGAGATGTCCGGCTCGGGGAGACAGGAAGCGGGACAGGTCTGGATGAAGGAGCTGGATGAGTTCACGGGGTGAACTTGGGGTCCCTGCTCGGACTCTTGGTGGGTAAAACAGCTGTAAAGAATATTCCTAAGACAGTTTTGGACGTTTAAGTACAAAATACATACATGTCTGTCATTGTTCAGTTTGTCAGGTATGATAATGTGGGGAAATGTGTCCAGTGTCAGGTGGGTGTGAATTGTTGGGATGACTCAACAGAAGAATAAGGGTGTGTGTACACTTTTATGCATAACCAAGCACATAGACACAGGAGAATAAGAAAGCAGGCATACCAAAATGTTTAAAAAATAATTTTAAAAGGTTAAAAGAATACCCTGTGTTGTGTTTCTGATCTTTAATCAGCATCTCCGAATGAAAGAATGGCTTTGTGGAGAAGTGGCTCTGCACACGGCTAACAAGAGCACGTGCAAGACTCACACAGAGCACCTCTTGGGGTGTGGGCTGTAAAGTCATCAGTTGACATACATTGCTCTATCTGCTTTACCTGTGAAATGTTCGTAAACAAGTCTTCGTGATATATCCAGAATGAATAGAGATTTATTGATAATTTTCAAGCCTTTGGATTGAGCTGCATCCCCAGCCTTTTTCATCTTTGATTTTTGTTTTGAGACAGGATCTCACTGGCCACTAAGTTGCCCGGGCTGGGTCCCAGCTCTTGACACTGTGTCAGCCTCTGTGCTGGAATTGCAGCTGTGCACCGCCAAACCTGGCTATGTGAAATGTTTTATTTATCAGAAAATCTTTCTGGTTTAACTCTTAAGTGCTCCAGTTGTTTGAGATTCTCTGTCATGTGCTGAAAACTGTCTGAAGATATTCTGAGTACCGCCCCCCCGCCCCATATCCTGAAGATCCCAGCACCTGCTGATACTGTACCCAGAAGATCATAGTGTGAGCAGACTGTCCATGGCCAGTTAGCGTGCCAGTGGGCTGCACCTGCCTTGTCAGAGAACTCAAGTCTGCTTCACAGTGAGGTGTCCCACAGCTTAAGTAAGTTATAGTGCTTCTCGTGAGCTGTGAGGGAGGCATAGGCAGATGTTCGTGGTTTTATCACTGTGATGGTTAAAGCTGACATTCAGCCAGCTTGAATGTCCCACTTGAGAAGAAATTTAAGAGTGTTTTGAGCTGTCTGCTCAAGTGTTTCTCCTCTTGTAAGCATGATGTTAGCTGCTCAGGGTTGAGATTTGGAGGGATGGCTGTCAAAGTACAGATGTTTGTGCAGTGAAACTGTGCACCTCTGACCAAGCTGCTGTGGTTCAGGAAATGATAGATGGTATTTTCATGTTCCCGTGCAGAGGGTCAAAGTGCCACAGTGGGCCCATGACAGTGAAACAGAGCAGTGTTAGCCCTGGAAGGAAATTTATTTCATAGCTTCAGGGGAAGTTGGGCTGCCATGAATAGGCTTTCTCTGTCAGTCTATAAAAATACTGTTTGTAAGGCTCTGATGTCTGTGACGCAGTCCACATACAGGAATTGGCAGAGGGGCACCCTCTTAAACAAATGTTGGGCAGCCACAGCAGTAAGTCTGGTGCGTGACCTTGGATGCTTGTACAGGAAGCATTGCTCGGGACAGAGATGCCAGCGGAACCAGAGGGGTCTCTTTCCTCTGTTTATAAAAGTTTTTGTTAAGTTTTATTAGTACATGTTTGCAGTGCATAACGATTACATTCATCATGATGTTTGTAAACTTGATGCCTTTTTAATGGTCTTAGACTATATGCACGCACAACCCCCCAGTCTAAAGCATTTTTTGTGTGTGTTAGAATTATAAATTCCTTTTTTTGTACCAGGGATCAAACTCAGGACCTTGCACTTGCCAGGCAGGCGCGGTGCCAGTGAGCTAAGTCCAGAGCCCAGAATTATAAATTCTTGTAATCAGCAGTCACTCCATTGTATTCACTTTTAAGTCCTTCAGGAACACATGTGTGCACACAACCCTATCTGTACAGTTTACATGTGGCTGTCATGGATTTGGGAACAGTGAAGCCACTGTTCACTCTTGGAGTTTTCTTTCTCTCCTCCCTGCACAAAGGAGAATCTGCCCTTGGCTTCTTTCCATTAGTTGATGGTGCAGTGGAGGAGACTCATTTTTCCAGACTGGACCAGCAAGGCACCTTTCTCTGAGCGACTTCCAAGGGAGAGGCTTCTGTTAGGAAAGAACATAAGGGTTGGAGGTCCTGTTGTGGGGCCTCCAGCATCATTCAGAGTTCCTTAGGCTGTAGGTTTCTCAGGTTCACTGTAGCAAAGTTGGAGTACAAATCTTCAACCCTCAATTTTTCTCATCCCAGACAGCATGGAATATAGTGCATTTGTCAAAAATAATATTTTTAAAAAGAAGTCTTGAAAACCTGATAAATGTATAAAAGTGAAATTACATGATCAAAGAAAAACATGGCATAGTCAAAATACTAGTGAGCGCAGTGGGGAAAGCCCTTGCCCTGGCCCCCTAAAACAACGAGAGCAGTCTGGGGGCACCAGAGTAGACTGCCAGGGGACTCTACTTATTTTGATAGGAAGCTGATTTACAAGTCCCGCATACAGAAAGCTGTCTTGGAGCCAGGGATTTAGCTTAGTGGTTCTACCACCTGCCTTGCAAGCACAGGGTCCCCAGTTTGATCCCCCATACCAAAAAACAAAACAAAACAAAACAAAAACAGAAAGCTGTCTTCCGAACAACCCTCACTCGGTAGGAGAGGGGGTTTCTCCCATGTGAGAGGTGCTATTTGTCTTGGGCCCTTCGAGGGCCAGAACAAAGGAGCCAAGTCACTGTAGCTGAGGCAGCACCACCAGCAGCTTCCATGGATACAGGCAGAGTTGGGGAGGGGTGGTCACCCCTCCATCTGCCGCTCTGTTTTGTTTACACTAAATTAAATACTGCACGTCATCACACAACGCATTTATAACGTGGTGTCACCACGAAAAAACTCAATTTATTATGCAGAGTGAAAAATGTTTACAGTACCAGTGTCTTACAGAAATTCAGTTTATAAACAAAAGGAGAATGAATTTTTAATCTGGGCTTAAAGTAAAATTTACATTCTTCTGGTTGAAAGCTTACTTCTTCCAGACTGCAGCACACTAGGTAGAACCTTCCTCAGCTGGCATGGAGGAGCTGTGTCTGCCCTGAGCCTGGGGGTCCTCCCCCCGCCCCGAGCTCTCCCCTGCCTGCTGCAATCTCAGGGGGCTCTGAGTGGAGGAGGCAGTGCAGTATGGCCTGGGTGTGCATCTCTGTCCCTGCCTCAGCACACACTGCAAGTGCAGCTGTCGCCCGGCACCTTTCCCACCCACCTCCTCTGCTGACCCGGCAGGCCGGCCCTGGGCTCTGGGTCTTAGCAGCCCCGGCTGCAGTCCTCTGGGTGATTGCGTGGCGACTTGTGTGGAAGGCCAGGCCTGAGCAGCAAGTCCCCCGGCCCCAGGCAGGGGCCCTGCAGTTGGGCCGCAGAGGACAGTGGCCAGGAGAGCCACATGAAGAAGGCGAGACTAAAAATGGATGTTTGCCCACTGTCTGGCGCCTTGCAGAGTCCTGCCCTTCTGGCGTGTCCTAGTCACTTCTGCCTTCACGTTTTCACAGATGCTGACCTGCTATGGGCACATGCCCAGGCTGCTAACCACGCTCATGTGCACTGTTCCTGATGCTTTGAACCCACCTTGTCGCTGCTATTGCTAGTGCAAGCAGAGCTTTTCTGCAGGAGTGGGTCTGGGCTTGCTTTTTAATGGACAGCACTGGAGATTGAATGCAGGGCCTTTGTGCTGAACTGCGTTCCCAGCCCTTTGAGACAGGGTCTCACTGAGGTGCCCCGGCTGGGCTTGAACTTGTGACTCTCCTGCCTCAGCCTCCCAGAGTGCTGGGAGCACAGGCACAGAGCAATGTGAAAGGTAAACAATTGAAAGCAACACATAGCACACACATCTGTAACTGAGTAGCAGGGCCAGCCCCAAAGTAGATGTGATGGGTTCATCCTGCACTGATGCAAGAGGCATTATTGTTCCTGCTGTCTGAGTCCTCCGTAAAAGATTGAGAAACCAAACGTGCCGAGTCCTTATCTGACTGGAGTTGGAAGTGACACTGGCAGAGGACACGCTCGGGAGGACACTGCCTTGCTGCCTTTGTGCAGGTTTCAGGCTCCTGAGCAGGCGGCAGCTGGAAGAGCAAAGGCTTGGTTTCCGTGCTCCCGGCGCCATCTCTGCCTGTGGGTCTACAGCCCGACGTGTGAACAGCTGTGTGCTCCTGGGCATTTTCCGGACGCCAGCCGGTCTGCTGGCCTTTCTGCCCAGTCTGTATTTGAGGGCCTTGAATACAGCGTTAATATCGCTCCTCCGGGCCTGAACTTGGCCATCTTCAGAGATGACCCAGCCCAGGAAGTGGGTGGTCTGAAGCCCCTGGGCAGAGAGGACACCTGCGGGACACGCCTGCACTCGCAGACATGCTCACGACTGCTCTCCGTTTCTCCCCCATAGACCGTGCCCAGAAACACGAGCTAAGACCACTCAGGCCTCCTTTGCTGGGCTGGTTGGTGCAGGCTGACTGCGTGGCAGCTTACCCACTCCTCCTGCATCCCTTTCTGACAATTCCAGTCAGCACCACGGGTGTCCCAGTGAGAAAGTCCACAGCGCCTGGCCAAGCTGCTGGAGCTCTCTGGCCT